AAGCTTCATTTCGGCAGACCCCTCTCGAGGATCGTGGCCATGGGCGCACCCGGAGCTCCACCGAAGCTTTTTTTTTCGGCAAACCTCTTCTCGAGGATCGCATCTTTGGCCTCACAGGGAGCTCTTCCGAAGCCTCATTTTGGCACACCCCTCTAGAGGAACGTTGGCCTGGCCCCACAGGGAGCTCCACCGAAGTTGCATTTCGGCATACCTCTCTCGATGCGATTGGATTCCAATATGATTTCTATGCGATTCCCATTGGATCCATATTGGACCCTATAGGATTCAGAAAGGACCGTATAGGAATCTTCTACGACCCCTATAGGATCGTATAGGAATCCTATAGGATCCTATAGGATTCCGATCGGGTCGTATTGGATTCCGATGCGATTTCTTGTAGGATCGTACAGGATTCCGATACGATTCCTATAGGATCGGAGAGGAAGGTTATATGATCCTATAGGGTCGTATAGGAATGATACAGGATCCCACAGGATCGCATGGGAGTCTTATATAACCCCTATAAGATCCCAATGGGATTCCTGTAGGATCCTATAGGATCGCGTGGGATTCCTATACAATCCATATAGGACCCCCATAGGATCCTATAGGAACCCATAGATTCTGGAGCTTCGCTGGTGCAGACATGGCAACATGGCATGAAGGAGGTTTTCACACCCGTAAGCGAGCAAAGTCACCAGCGGAGCGAAGAATGGAGCCCCAGGTTGCTGGTTGCTGGTTTGGGGGGGGGGGGGCTGACCCCTGGGGGCTAGGTCAAGGGTTGTCCCTTAAGGACAAGCGTTGACCAAGCCCCCTGGTGAACGGGGGGCAAGGTCAAGTGTCAACCTTGTTGTTGTTGTTGTTGCTGTTGTTTTTGTTGGTGGTGTTGCTTTTGTTGCTGCTGTTGTTATTGTTTTTGTAATTGTGACGGTTGCTGTTGTTGTTGTTGTTGTTGTTGTTGTTGTTGTTGTTGTTGTTGTTGTTGTTGTTGTTGTTGTTAATGTTAATGCTAATGTTGCTGTTGAGTGTGAATAATTGAAAACCTATTATTGTTGGACCCCTTAAAAGGCGCCCTGGCGCTCTCGCCGAGGCGCCCGCTGCACTTTCATTGAGACTGAGGCTCACTCTCAAGCGGCTTTGGGGACCGCCAGAGCCGTCCTCCCAACAGCAATAACAACAACAACAATTACTAGCACGTGGGGACACTCCGTTCTCACCAGTGCCAGGGTTTTCATACGACGCCCGCCAATACCCCCACTTTGTGGGGGGGCCGGTTCAAGCTCTACCACATTTCCAAACGACTCTTCGCCACCACCCACACCCAGCTTCCCGCCCTATGACGTTCGGACACTTCACTTCGTGGCCTGCGGACGACCGTGGCTACTACACTGGCGCATGGGTACAGTGACTTGTTGTGGTAACATTTTCTGGACGCTAGCTTAGTATACGACTTTTCCCCCTGTTCCAACACTGGACACCTGTGGTTTTTGAAGATTTCGGCGTGCGCGCGCGAAGAAAAAACGAATGTGTCCCGCATGGTATTATTTGACAGGGATGATGGCCCTGGCAGGTGCGCAACCGTTGTTGGAGAAGTTCGAAGCACGTGACAAAGTTGCTCGCGAAAGCCCGTTTGACAGAAATGTTTAAAAAGTGTTGGGTTTCCTACAAATCCGCAAGAGCGCGTGGGATGAAATTTTGACGTTTTTGTTTGAAAAACAAAAAAAACATTGGTTGTTTGATGTTTTTATGTTAAAATCGCTACGAACACTAAGGTTTTGGAAGGATTTCGTCTTGCGCGCGCGAATGTCCACTTTACCTTATTTGTTGCAAGGGATTCTTGAAGTTTGGTTATGTTAGAACAAGAAATGTCCACTTTGCCTTATTTTTTGCAAGGGAAAACCGCCCGTAACAAAACAACCGGATCCGGACCAACCCGTTTTGCCGGAGGCTTCCTCACGAAAATGATGAAAACATGGCTGCGGCCTAGGCGCGGCGAGGGGGCCGTGCACCAGGGGTCCCAACAATAATTATTCTTTAGAAGTAATAATGTTCAACAACAACAACGCTCCTGTTCGAGACTTGCTCCTTTTTTACTCAGGGTCGGTGCTCTTGTTCGCCGCCGAAAGCAGCCGTCTCAACAAAACCAGCGCTCCCAGTCGAGACGTCCTCCCGTTTTACCTTGGACAGGCGCGCTACTCATTCTCTCATCGGCGCCGCCCCCCAGCAAGAACAACGCTCCCGCTCGAGACGCCCTCCCTTTTTTACTCAAGGCGGTGCTCGTGCTCGCCGCCGACAGACCCCGTCCCGACAAAACCAGCGCTTCCGCCCGAGACTTCCTCCCGTTTTGCGCTGGTCTGGCGCCCTTTCCTCCTCCTCGTCATCCTCCTCCTCCTCCTCCTCCTTCTCCTTCTCCTCGTCCTCCACCTCCTCCTCCTCCTCCTCCTCGTGCTCCTCCTCCTCGTGCTCCTCCTCCTCCTCCTCCTCCTCCTCCCTCCTCCCCCCTCCTCTTCCTCCATTTTCCTTCCTCCACCCCCTCCTCTTCTCCCTCCTCCATCCTCCGCCCCTCTTCCCTCCCTCCTCATCCCTCGCCCCTTTTCTTCCCTCTCCTCCACACGTTCCTCCTCATCCTCCTCCTCATCCACCTCCTGCTCCTCCTCCTCCTCTGTCTCCTCCTCTTTCTCCTCCTCGGCCTCGTCCTCTCCTCCTCCTTCTCCTCCCACTCCTCCTCCTCCTCCTCCTCCGCCTCCCCCTCCTCCTCCCCTCTCCTCCTCCTCCTCGTCCTCCTTCCTCCTTCCCCCTTTCTCTCTTCCTCCCTCTTCCTCCCTCCACCCCATCCTGTTCTCCCTCCTCCCTCGTCTTTCTCGTGTCCCTCTTCCCTCCCTCCTCCATCCTCATTTCCCTATTCGTCCCCCTTGTCTCCTCCCTCCTCCTGCTTCCTTCCTCCCTCCTCCCTTCCCCTTTCCGTCCTCCTTCGTCGCTCCCGCTTGATACTTCCTCACAATTTACTCGAGACTGGGGTCCTCCGTTCGGCGTCGTCTATGGAAGGGTTCCAAGGGTCATTTTTGAATTTCAATTATTAAATAATCAGCGTGTGTGGTGAGCGTAGATAGTGTGGAGGAGGATAAGAAGAATGAGGACGGATGACTTTCAGGGGCTCCAAGGATCGAGGGTTGAAGGATTGATTTCATGGGTTCTTGAGAGGGTGTGGAGGGACAGGTGGAGGATGCGAGCATGGGAGCGGCAGCGCCTGGAGGCGTGAACTTCCAGGGTCAAGCGCCGAAACCGCAGGGTGGCGGCGTAAGCTGGAACGAGGAGTAAGAACCACCTCGTCCCCGGAGGTACTGCTACTACACATACTCCTTTTTCCTCCCCCCCCTCCTCCTCCATCCTTCCCCTCCTGTTCTTTTTCCCCTCCCTCATCTTCCTTCCCCTCCTCGTCCTCTTCCTCCTCTTCCGAGATGCGGGGCGTGCGCAAGGCGATTGCGATGGCGATGTGCTGTCCGGGCAGTGGGCGCCGAAGTTTTTCGGAAGAGGTGGCGGCAATATTTTCTAGGGCGGGAGATCTGCGCGAGGGAATATCGGACCCACGTTCTCCCCCATGCGGCGGCGTGGTACCCAGAGGGATGCGTGTGACATGTGGAAGTATGGCGCCTGATGAAGACATGCTTATTGTTGTTGCCGTTGTTGTTGGTGTTGTGTGTGCGTGTGCGTGCCCAGGGGTTGTTTTAAACGGCGCCCCATCACATCGTGGGCGTCATTTCTGCCATAATGAACGCGGGCGTCCACATTTGAGCGGCCCCCGTTGCGTCACTTCCTTGGCCGTTGTCTTGTTTTGTTTGTTGGGGGACGCCGTGGGGCGCTGGATGCGTTGGGCGATGAGGGCGGTGACGCCCGTTGAACGGAGGATTATGTACATGTGCTTCGCGACGGTCTCAATTGCCGCAGCCTCGCCCGCTCTTTCCAGACCAAGCTGCGCAAGATTTATGAGTGTCCCGACCGCTTCCCCTGGCAGCGCTGCCCGAAAACATTGTACAAACAGCCAACGTCCTGCGGCCAGAAAGTGCCATGAAAACCGTCCGTCCGTCCAGGGCGCCAACCAAGCTTTCCCAAGCTCTGCCCATGGGAAGCGTGGATTGCCAGATGGTGTCCGTCTTCGGCAGCAGCACCACGACTTCGCCCATTGTACACAACGACGGCGACCAAACAAACATCGCAATTGAAAGAAGAGAACCACATTTCAGCATTGGCAGGGTGATTGCACGTGCTGGCTGGAGCTTTCGGGAGTTGGAGCCGAGGGATGTCCACGATGAAATGCGCATCGTGTAGCAACATATTCCGTGCAACCTCCACGCGTTCACTGTTAGCAATAATGCCGCATATTCACCACAATCGCGCTACATGCATCGGGCGATTGGGCGTCGAGTCTTGCGTTGTCTTGGCCACGCTTTGACTGCGGAGGACGGCGCGCCAGATCCCTTCGTTGTCCATGGCAGCGCGCCCGCTAGCACCACCGTGCCCATGACAGCGAAGCGGTCACGATCGCCCCGTCAGATGGCGACCAGTTTAATTGACATTGTGTGCAGTACATTTGAAATCAATTGATGCCGCGGCAACAAACATATTCGGAAGCAAAGCTCGACAGCCACGCAGCGTCCGTGGAGGCGCTATACGCACATCCAACCATTCATGCCTTGCGGCTGAACATTTTGGCCGATCAATGCTACAATTGCGCGCCTTGCTCGTTCTGCAAAGGGTGGCGATGCATGACGCACGGCGGGTCTTTGCGGCAGACCTGCAGGTATGATTGTGGAGCGCTGGATGCGGGCAACACAAAAAGAAACCAACGCGCTATTTTCTGGCAGGCCAAAGTTGATCTTCCATAGGGTGTCAATCGTCCTCCACCAACCATCTCATATCAAGGAAAAGGATCCTTGGTCCTTGGCAACACCGTCGTGGATTGTCGCCGCGCCTTCAATCGGAGAAAAGATCGCATTGCGAAGGCTTTACGGCTGGCGTCGCCGACCCTGAAGATGCGGACGCTGACCAAGACGAGGTAGAAGGAGGAGAAGTCGGACGAGCAGGGGGAGGGGCCGCACGAGGAAGGGTGAAGAGGACGGGGAGGAGGAGGCGGAGGTAAAGGTTCAGGGGAGAGGGGGGGGAATGGAGGGGGGGTAGCTGTGAGGGGGGGCAGACGCGGGGGTGGTAGTGGTGCCCGCAGGTGTTGACGGAGAAAGGACGTGGTCTCGTGAGGGTATCTTGGGACATGTTTGGCTCGTCCTGGGACTTTGTTGGGCCGCGGGATTCCGGGGGGGGGGGCGTCGTATCTGACCCGGGACCACCCCGGGACATCCCCGGGCCCCCCCCCCGGGACCCCCCCCCCCTGGGAAAGGATGAAAGGGGAGGGTTTTCTTTTCGACTCAGTGATGATGTGGCTCACTTTCGTGAGTAGGACATCGTTCAATTTCTTTTCGCTTCGCCACTTAAGGGGGAGGCCTGGGAAAGGGGAGTGAGCGACGACGACGACGAAGAGGGGGCAGACAGGAAAGCCTCAGAGGGGGCAGAGCGAAAAGCCTCTTTCACACACCGACGCAGGGTCGGCGCACTCGTAGACACGCTGGGTTTGGTCGTGCAACGCGGCCAGGGGACATTCGTGAGAGTCTCGCCAGGAAGCGTTCGTGACGATGGCCACGCGGAGAAGCGCAGCGTTGCCCATGATCCACGGATGCGCGCGAGAGTTCGGGGGGGGGGGGGCAATTGGCGAAGCCGCCAAGATGAGGAGCGGCGAGGCGTTCTTCCCTACAGGCGCCCACGGTGGACTAGAGGGCTGCAGCGGGCATCCGGGCCACGTGCGCTTCTCTGGCCCCCAGCGGGTTCGAAGGCGTGGACCGAGTCATCGATGCCAGTATTGATCTGGAGCAGGACGTCATTTTCTTCAGCCTGGCGGACTGGGAGGGTTCCATTCAATGCAGGGAGTGCGACGCGCACGCTGGCGGGCTCGCGAAGCGCGCCCTACAGTCGCCTTGCGGAGTTCCAGAACCTTACGAGCTACAGTGGGACGAATTCGAGGGACGGGGAGTCCTGGAGATCATTGGCACGGGCCGCTTCGAGGGTAGCATCGAGACGGACGCGCAGGGACGCGGACTTTGTGCGTGCGCCTGGGTAGGGGAAGATGCGTGCTTGTACGTAGGATGTAATTCTGTATTTGCAGGAATCCAGAGACCCCCAGCAGGTTTACTGACAGAGATCATGCCATTGCTGGTATGGCTCAAGGCAAGCATCCGAAGACAAGATCTCGCCATGGTAGCGGAGCCGTGGTCCCGACCCTCCCAGTCCACAGGGTCGGGCTCCGCGGCCCCCTCTCCCGCCAGCGGCGCGGGGAGCCCCAGCAGCCTGGGGCCGGCCGCCGGCGCGGGAGCCGCAGCAGGGCCTGCCGGGCCCAGCTCCAGCGAGGGCGACGAGTGGGAGCTCGTCGAGGTCCATCGAGGCTGGAGAAGAGTGGCGAGGCAGCTACGCAAGCTGTTCAGGCTGAGGAGGACCTGGGCAGCGCTGGGCCAGCACCTGAAGGATTTCACGAAGCTGCGCGCGAACCGCCGCTGAGATGGCGGAGGAGCGCGTGCAGGCTCTAGAGCAGCAGATGATAGCGCTGGCCCAGGAGCTGCAGAACCGCCAACAGAGGGAGAACGATCTCACGGCCGAGGTGGAGCGGCTCGGCCGCGTGGCCGAGGCTAGACCACGGGTGGACGGGCCTGTGCCACAGCCTCGAGCCGAGTCGCCCGTGGACACCCGCACGCTGGGCAAGCCAGACGTGTTCACGGGCGAAGAGCACAAGTGGAACGATTGGAAGGTGATCTTCAAGGCGTACTGCGGCGTCGTGAACGCCGATTTGCTGGCAGGGATGCGACTGGCAGAGAGCGCTGACGAGGCCTCAGTTCAGAACGATGACTTCCTCGAGGAGAACATGAGGCAGGCCTCGCAGCAGCTGTATTACATCTTGCTCCTCCTCTGCCGGCAGCATCCCCTGACGACGATCGTGAATGCTGGCGAGAATGAGGGCTTCCAGGCTTGGCGCAAGCTGGTTGAATACTACGAACCGAATGCGAGGTCCCGCATCGCGGGGCAGCTGCTGAATCTCCTGAACTTCTCGTTCACTGGCGATGTCGAGGACCGGCTGGCGCTGTTCGAGGAAGGCCCTCTACGCCAGCACCTCTTGCGCAATGCGACCAGGCTGGTGGAGTGGCAGGACTTCCGACGCGAGGTCACCGACATCCGCCGTGCCCAGAGCGCCATCGCCCCGGTGCCCGTGCCCATGGACCTGAGCGCGTTCACCAAGGGTGGCGGCAAGGGCAGGTTCAAGGGCGACGGCAAGGGCAAGAGCAAGTCCAGTGGCAAGGGCAAGAGCAAGGGCGACAGCAAGGGCAAGTCCAAGTCCGACGGCAAGAGCAAGACCAGCAGCAAGTCACATGGTCAGCAGCTCGGGCCACTCTGCTGGGGCTGCGGCGGTCGCGGCCACACTCAGCGTGAATGCCCGAGCAAGCACAGGGGGGCGTTGGCGAGCATGTAGCAGACGCTGGCTCGCATCAACGCCTCCCAGTCGACGAGTACGACCGTACCATCGGCGGCCAGCTCTATCTCGACGGCTGCGACTGCGAGGCTGAGTCCGGCGACGGCGATGTCCGGCGCGAGCTCTCGACAGGTCGCAGCACTCTACCTGAACGACGCGGACGAGCAGGTCAGCTACCCGTTCGCGAACCTCCACCCCCTCAGCATCTACGACCCGGGGCCGGACAAGGCGGACGTGGTCGACTCTGCGACCGGCGCGGCCCTGGACCTGAACATGATCCACGGCAACTCGGATGCGGAGGAGGTCGAGCTCAACGGCATCTTGCGCGTGGGCATCGACTCGTGTGCGGCGGCATCGGCGCTGCCGCGTGGCTCGTGCACGGACTACCCGGTGCACGAGGGCGGCCAGGCGATCTCGTACAAGACCGCCTCTGGCCACTACGTGAACGACGAGGGCGAGAAGATCCTCGTGGGGACGATGCCTGGGGCTTCTCAGGCACGCGCTGCGAAGTTCAGGGTGGCGGACATCAGCAAGCCGTTGCTGAGCGTCGCGGAGATGGTCGACTCCGGCCATCGGCTCGTCTTCGACTCGGAGGGCGGGCAGGACATTAGCTACGCGTACCACAAGACCAGCGGAGACGTTGTCAGGTTCTGCCGCAGGAATAAGGTCTACGAGATGGATATGCACGTCGACCCGTACGTGCCGGAGGTCTGCCCGGTCGAGGTGGCAGGCCACGAGCCTCCCGAGGGTGAAGCCGGCCAGCCAGGCGCGGCTCACGAGGAGGTCGCCGAGTGCCCGCCGGCACGGCCGGCGAGGGAGCCCGCAGCGCCGACGGCGGCCGAGCTGGCCGCGCACGAGGTGCTGCACGAGCCCTACGGGGCATGGCGCCGGGAGTGCGTCTCCGGCAGAGGCCTGTCAGCAGGCCATCAGACGAAGGACCACCAGGAGTCAGCGCTCGCGGTGGTTGGCATCGACTACGGCTACCTCGGTGAACGAGAGGACGCTACGCCGCTGCTGATCGGGAAAGATTCGAAGCAGCGTTGGTTCCACGCGTCGGTGGTGCCAGCTAAGGGGACGCAGCATCCCTGGCCGGCAAAGTCGTGGTCCAGAGGCTGGCTTCGGCTGGCCACAAGCGCTTCGTCTTCCGCTCAGACGGCGAGGCGCCGCTCGTCGCCCTGAAGACCCGCATCGGGGCCAAGCTCAAGGAGGAGTACGGCGTCGAGACGGTGCCCGAGGAGAGCGCGGTCGGCGGCTCTCAGGGCAACGGCCTGGCCGAGCACGTGGTGCGCGAGGTCAAGGCCAAGGTGGGGACGGTGCGGGCGCAGGTGGACGACCTCCACGGCGTGAGCATTGGCGTCGAGCACCGAGTGACCCCGTGGATGGTCGAATTCGCAGCCATGTCCATCAACCTGGGCAGGCGGGGCGCTGACGGCCGCGCGGCTTGGGAACTTCGGCACGGCCGCCCCTTCAACAAGGACCTGGCTTGCTTCTCGGAGAAGGTCCTGTATCTCCCAGGGGGCAAGCGCAAGGATGGGATCGAGGACAAGTTCCTCGCTGGGCTCTACCTGGGGCCCACGCTTCGGACGGGCGAGGTCTACATTGGCACGGAGGTGGGCGCACTACGGGCCAGGGCCTTCAAGTGGTTGACGGTCGAGCAGCGGGCCGACAAGGACCTGCTGAACAGCCTCGTGGGGAAGCCGCGGGCGCCGGTGCCGACGGACGTGGAGGTGGACGAGGTGCCGGTGGCCATCGAGATCCGAGCGCCGGCGCCAGCGCCGGTCGCGCCTTTGGGCGGACCTCTGGCGCCCATCCCCGAGGCTGGGGACCTCCCGCCCCGGGTTCTCCGAGTCGGGCGACCACCAGCAGGACCGCGGGCCGTCTACATCAGGAAGGTCGTCGAGATCGCGAAGTACGGGCTCTCCCCGGGCTGCTACGGCTGCGCCGCGATCCTCAGCGGCGCCCGGGCGCAGGCTCACTCAGCCGAGTGCCGCGCTCGGATCGAGCAGGCGATGCAGGACGACGAGGAGGCAAAGCAGAGGCTCGAGGATGCCCGCGAGCGGAAGCGGCATCGCACTGACGTCGCCGGGCCTGTCTATCAAGAGGGCGGCTCGTCAGGCAGCGGCGGTCCAGCCCCAGCTCAGCAGGTGCCGCCAGCACCCGAGGCCGCGGCGGCGGCTGACGCGGCGATGGCTCCGGCACCACACGACCCCGGCGACGACAACATGCAGGAGGAGATCGGTGCCCTCCTGCTCTCTCTCGGCTACAGCGGGCGCAAGGCCGACGTGATGGAGGTCTTCTGCCCGAATAGGCTTGTGGGCTTTGCCCCCCTCTTCGGTCTGGTTCACGGCGGCTCGTTCGACCTGAGGGTTGGCTGGGACCTGACCGACCTCCAGCAGCAGCGACAGTGCCGGGAGCTGATCGAGCACTTCGAGGTGTACTTCCTCTTGGGCAGTCCTCGCTGCGCGCCGTTCTCCATGCTGAAGTACCAGAATGAGGACACGGAGAAGCAGCGTGAGGCCTACGCCATCGGGTACGAGCACTTGAGGTTCGTGATGGAGCTCTACACGCTGCAGGTGAAGCACGACCGCACGTTCTTGCACGAGCACCCCTGGAGCGCGGACAGCTGGGACCTGGACATCGTGAAGGATGTGATGGCTCTCCCGGGCGTCGAGGTCGGGCGAGGCGACCAGTGCGTGTTCGGCCTGGTGGTTGCGGACGCGCACGGCGACAGGCTCGCCAAGAAGCCGACAGGGTGGATGAGTAATAACAAGGAGGTGTTGGATGAGGTGTGCAAGCGCTGCCCCAATGATACTGGCATTGGCAGCCGCCACGAGCATTCCACCTTCGTCGGCCGCAACATGCGTGTGGCGGAGAGGTACCCAGTCAAGCTCCTCCGTGCCATCCTCCGCGGCCTCCGCCGTCACCTTAGCAACAAGAAGGTGCTCACGCTTTCGGCCCTGGATGCTGGGCCGAACGTGGACGATGAGGAGATCAGCCTGAAGGACTTCGTCGGGAAGTGGCGCGACACGCTGAGGACCGAGTTCTACGACGACCTCACCGGCCTCCCGTTGGACCCCACGCGGGTGAAGGCCGCGAGGCGCCTGGAGATGGATTTCATGGCGCAGCTTGGCGCGTGGGCCTACGCGAGGGAGGAGGACTGTCAGCGCGAGCTTGGACGGAGGCCTCTCAGTGTGCGCTGGGTTGATATCGACAAGGGCGACACTGACCGGCCGGATTACAGATCCAGGCTCGTCGTGCAGGAGACCAAGGCGCAGAGCACCATCGCCGGGGACGACATCGGCGCGGTGTTTGCGGCGACCTCGCCGCTAGAGTGCCTTCGGCTCATCTGCAGCATGGCGATGTCGAGCGACCCGTCCGAGGGCCGCGTGCTGCGCTTCCTGGACATCTCGCGGGCGCACCCGCACTGTGAGATCAAGAGGACGGTCTACATCAAGCTTCCAGAGGAGGATCCGATGTCGCAGGAGATCCGTACGTGTGGGCTCTTGCGGATGGCGCTCTACGGGACGCGCGACACTGGCCAGAACTTCGAGCTCGCGACTGCCGAGACGGTCATCGGTGCTGGCTGCGACCAGTCGGCCTTCTCGCCTTGCGTGTACTGCCACAAGGACTTCCAGGTGAGCTTCTTCCACCGCGGCGACGACTTCTTGCTCGAGGGCTCTCGGGACGGGACGGAGTCGATCTGCGAGGCCCTGAAGACGAAGTTCATCGTGGAGGACAGGGGCGTGCTCGGGCCGGCGCCCACCGACGCAAAGGAGGTAACGTGCCTCAACAGGGTAATGCGCTGGCGAGACCGATGGTGCCAAGGGGGCGAGGCCATCGAGTACGAGGCGGATCCCAGGCACGCGCAGATCTTGCACGCGCAGCTTGGAATGGACCCCCGCACCACGAAGTCATTGAGCACGCCAGGGCTGAGCCAGAAGCTTACACCTGAGGTCGAGCGCGAGCTGAACGAGCACGAGGCGGCAGAGTACCGCAGTGCGTGCATGAGGCTGGGCTACTTGGCGCTCGATCGGCCAGAGGTGCAGTTCGCGGCCAAGGAGTGCGCTCGCGGCATGCAGAGGCCGACAGAGCGACACCTCCGCCTTCTGAAGCGCGCTGGACGCTTCTTGATCGGGGCGCCGCGGGTCATCTGGAAGTGGGGCCGACAGCGGGCACCCACAGTGATGGACATCTATTCGGACACCGATTGGGCAGGCTGCCCGATCACGCGGAGGAGCACCAGTTCGGTCGTGATCAAACATGGGCAGCACCTGATCGTTACGGCATCGACGACTCAGATCCCCATCTCCATGAGTTCGGGGGAGGCTGAGTTCTACGGCTGTGTGCGGGCGGCCAGCAGGGCCATCGGCATGCAGCCACTGTGCCAGGGCCTAGGCAGGGACGTGAGCCTTCGCATCTGGAGCGACTCGGCAGCTGCTCTTGGCATCATGCAACGACGAGGCTGCGGCAAAGTCCGACACCTCGAGACGCCGACGCTGTGGGTGCAGAAGGCACTCAAGGACGGACGGTTTCAACTGGCTAAGGTTCCCGGGAAGTCGAGCCCGGCGGACCTGGGGACGAAGTTCCTCGACCAGGCGGCGATGCTCCGAGGGCTGGAGACGATGAATGTCAAGCTCTCGGACGCGCCCCTCTCGAGTGCCCTTCAGGCGAAGGTCTGAACTGAGGGGCACGAGCGGCCATTTTGGCCTGGCCATTTCGGCCTGCAGTCTTTCGCTCCGCGCTGTCATTGCCTTGGACGGGCTACGGCCGTCAGCGCGGCTATTGCGTGCACTTTGATTGCAGTGCTCGACCAACGCCGCGGTCCAGAGCGCTGTGCACTGACAGTGAGTTTCGGAGCTTTTCAGGATTCGAGCATCGTGCCTGGCTGAAGAGCTAGGCGGCGCGAAGGGGGCTGCAGGAATCCAGAGACCCCCCGCAGGTTTACTGACAGAGATCATGCCATTGCTGGTGTGGCTCAAGGCAAGCATCCGAAGAAAAGATCTCGCCAGTATTGCTTTTGTTAGACGGCGCGTCCTGGGCCACTGCTGGGTTGACGGCCTGCGCGGGTTTCTGCTCACATCTAGATTCACGGGCAATATTTGGGGTGAATTGACAGATTTGGGATGTCAATCAAGCTACTGAAGCGCCCACCCAATTCTGGAGGCAGCACAGCAGCTTGGCTCAGCATATCAGCAGCGCTTCGTGACATTGCCATCATCAGGCGATCTTTGTCCGTCCGAATCTTCCCTCACTTTGTCTCGGCCATCAGGGTTTTCAACTCCAAACCATCCGCGTATTCCTCCACCTCCTAACTCTTCTCCTCATCCTTCTCCTTCTCCTCCTCCCTCCTCTCTCATTCCTCCTCAGTCGTCCTTCTTCTCTCATTCCTCCTCCTGTTTTCTCAATCCGTTGTCCTTGTAAAGTATTCCTCCCTGTTGCACCTCGCCTTAACTCGCGCGCATTCGTGTTAACATTTTGCATGACCTTCACGAATGGAGGGCGGGCCGTTTTCAACATGTAGTTCTCGCCCCAGCGACGCGCACATCCCTTTGACAAAAACTGCAAGAGCTTCACAGATGGAGGGCGGTTCCTTTCCAAAATGCGGCTCTCGCCCTTAGCGCCGTGCACATTCGTTTTTTTTTTTAAGTTTGCCAAAAGGTCACGGATGGAGGGCAGCGTTCTTCCAAATTGTGGTTCTCGTTCTAACGTTCTAGAGCCGCGCACGTACATTTCAAGATTTTGCAGCATTCTGAAGGATTGTCAGGGCGCAGCTGTTACATTGATTCGCGGAGCGAAGATCCCAAGGATGGCGTTTTGGCGCTCTGGACCGTCAAGACGCAACAGTAAGGTTGATTCGTGGCGTTGAAGTCCCAGGGGTGGGTCTTTGACGTCGCAAGATTTTCAAACGATTGTTTTCCAAAAGGGCACCTCCCTCAGTGGGCATGAATCCTTTTCGGGGCCTTTGAAGAGGGAGCTTGGAGGAAGGGCTAATCGCACCATCGTTGATAGTTTTGGGGTTTGCGCTGGTCGTCCTCCCCCTCCTCCTGCTCCCCAGTGACGACAGCGACGGCGGCGGCGACGACGGCGACCGGGACCAGGACATCGAGGGCAGGTGGATCCGCGCCGCCCTCCGCCGGATCACCCTGGGCGCCTGACGCGCCCCCATCCCGGCCAGGCCCCTTCCTTGAGCACCTGCGACAGCGGCAGTCGGAGGAGCAGGGCTGGACCTAAACGGTGTTTTGGCGATTTCGTGGGCCGTTTCCGCTTCGACCTTGCTTTGCGGCAGAGGCGGACTGAAGACAAAACGAGGGAAAACGAAAACAACACGAAAACGAAAAACACCGTTTAGGTTCAGCCCTGCGGAGGAGGGGAATGGAACCGCCTGAGGCGCACGAGTCCAAACCTCATTTGATCCTCACGACGGGCAGCGTTTGCCCATCTTCGGCTTCTTGGGTGCCCTCGCCAGGCCCCTGCGCCGTCGACAGCAAGAGTCGGGATGAAGACCTGGTCCAGGGGAAGGGGTCCCCAGATCTCCGGGGAGCCGCGCGGCGAGTAAGCACGACGTCGGAGGTCTGCAAAGGAAAGGGCCCAGACCACGAGGGGGCCAGATCAGCATGAAGGAACGGGACCACACCACCATGAGGGGCAACGGTAGGGGGCCTCCTTCTTGTCCGACAGCAGCAGGAAAAGGGGCAAGGCCAGCATGATCGCAGACCTCCTCTCGTCGGGATTTTTTTGGTTCCAGAAGGGTCGTCGGCCCATGGCTCTCGGCTGACGGATCTTCTGTCGATGGAGAACTAACGTAAAGTCAAATCCTCAATCGAACAAGTGCGATTCGTGCGTGCTTGGACAAAGAATTTCGCCCCCAAAAGACAAAAACATCAGATCATCAGTAAATATTAGGTTCCGCAGACCCCAGCTTTCTCTTTTAGAAATGTTTGCCAGCGCTGACCCCAAACAGCTAATGATTTCTCGGTGGATGTGTAAGCTGCGTGGTGCACAATATGTGTTGTAAGAGACGTGGTGCCATATACGTAGATGCATGTATGTATGTATATGTACATATATATATACATACATACATACAGAAATACATGTGTACAAGACTGCAGTGGCTTTTCGCACCATGCACCTTGGTCAGGCAGAATGGCAGGAAGGTCAAGCCGACAATTCAGCGATAACTCCTTGTTGCCTTTTCCAGCATTGCCGTTATAATAATGATTCGTTATCATTCCATGCTTCTTTGTCCTCACCCTCGCCATACCATGCGCTTTCTCCCCATCCTCCTCAGCTTTGTTTGCGGAGGCTCCTCCTTTGAGAGCCTCTGAGGGCCTCACCAAAAGTTTGTCAGGCTTTCCTGAGGCCTTCTAGAGGCCTCCTGGGCGTGCTCTGGGGGCCTCTAGGAGCTTCCTTGGGCCACCCTGCCTCCAGCGGCGGTCTCCCTGAACGAATGGGTCACGATTTGGAATGCTTCGGAGGGTGTCTTGGAGCCATCTTGGGCCGCCATGGGGCTCTCTTAGGGCCATCGTGGACCCCTGTTGTGCTGTTTTGGGGCTCTCTTGGGTGGCCTGGAAGCCTTTTCGGATGGTTGTGGGGCGATGTTGGGCGCTCCCAGGCGGCTTCGGACGCCCAGAAGACCGCCACCTTGGAGCGTCGGGAAGCCGAAAAGAGTATAACCCCAACATTCACCAACAACCTATGGAAAATCAGTGATTTGACTCTCGGGGCCTTCTTGGGACTGCTCTTGGATGTCTCTTGGGACGTTTTGGAGCGATCTTTGGGGGTAAGACGGCTTCTTGGGGGTCGTCGTGGACCGTATTGTGCCTCTCTGGGGTCGTTTCGGGAGCGCGCCGGAACGCCGTGAACCCGTCTGGGGCCGTCTTCGGGCATTCGTGAGGTTCTCCCGGGTCGTCTGAAGGGTTGCTTGGAGGCCCGGGGAGGGCCAACTTCGTTAGGGGGGGCGGTCCGCGTCCCCGGCCCCAACAAAAATATATGAACGGGAATATGTATATACGCATACACAAATATATGCATCACAGTAAATATTTCTATGTACATGTATGTGTGTGTACATGTACGTAGGTATATGTATGCACACATATGTGCATATAGTGTGGTCGACATCCTCTGGTGCAAGCTATGCGTTGCACGCTACGAGTTGCAAGCTACGTTGCGTAGGCTGGGCGGTGTGGCCTGTGTGGTGTAAGTTGTGGAGTAGGATCTGCGGTGACAGCGGTGTGGTGTATGCCATGTGGTGCGAGCCGTGTTGTGAACAGGAGTAGTGAAGCCTACGAGGCCTCCCCGCGAACCAGGCGCCCACGGGAGGCCACGGGTGGGCATCAGGCGCAAGCTCCGCAAACACACACACACACACACACACGCACACGCACACGCACACGCACACACACACACACACACGCACGCGCACACGCACACACACACACACACACACACACACACACACACACGCACACACATCAGCGCGCGATTTGCCCACGAGGTGGCCACGGGCGGGCACGAGGCGAACCCTCTGCACATCCACCCAGCCCAGGAGTCGCTCAGAAGCGCCCACAGATGGGCACCAGGCGAAATCTTAGCACATCCACCCGCCGCACGAGGCGCCCACGAGGCACCCACCAGCGCCGCCCCAACCCGGCACCAGCCCGGAACTTGGCACAGTCGCCTTGCCCCTCATGATGTCGCCTTGCTCCTCCTGGTGCGGCTTTAGGCGGTCTTGTTGTCTCTCCTCTTCCTTCCCCTCCTCCTCTGCACACTGGCGGCTTTTCGGATATAGTTGCAGGGCACCTGTTGCTTCTTCCCTCCCTGCTATCTTGTTGGTGAGGTTTCCTGGCGCGCGCTGCCGCAGGGGGGGTCGTGGCAGCTCACGCGCTTGGAGCATGTGCTCTTGAATGTCCCCCCTCCCCTCGGCCTCCTACTTTCTCTTGGTGACGGCGTCAGCGTGTGTGGCGGCCTTCCCCTCACGCCCAGGCTATCACCAACACGGGGAGACAGGTTGTTTGCCAATGTTTGCCGCAGGTGGGCTGTTGCAGGCAACATGTCGATGTTGGGTGCACACGGCGGGCTCCTCCGCGATCTGAGACCCGTCACCGCTGTTTCCTTATCCTCTTTGATTATTCCTCGTTGCCTTCCTCTCTGGTTCCTGGTGCGACCATGTTGTCCGAAAAGCAGTGCCCGTGTATTGGTTGCTTTTGCCCCCCCCCCCCCTGTTTCATAATGTTCTCGCAGACGCCTGCGGGGAATCACCGCCTGCCCCCTGCCTTTTGGAGTCGCCCGTGTGGCCGAGCTTTGTGGCAAGAGCTCTGCCAAGCTATCGTACCATGTGTTCCCTAGCCATTGTGGAAACCCATCGGGGAACACTTGGGGGAGGATGGTGGGGAAGTTCAGGAGGAGGAATGGGCATCTTGGGAGCCCCGGGTGGCACTCTTGGGGCCTCCTGGGAGCTCCTGGGAGCCTCTTGGAGGCATCTTGGGGGGCTCCCTGGGCCTCTTGGGGGCCTTTGGGGGCTTCACGGCGGCCCCTTTGGCCGTCTGGGCCTCTTGGAGGCCTCTTGGGCCGTCTTGGGGCCCACTTGGGGCCGTCTTGGGTGCCTCTTGTGCCGTTCTTGGGCCATCTTGGAGGCCTCTTCGAGGCCTCTCGGGCCGTCTCGGGGCTCACTTGGGGCCGTCTTGGGGGCCTTTTGAGCCGTTCTTGGGCCATCTTGGAGGCCTCTTGGGCGATCTTGGGGCGATCTTTGCGGGCGCTTGGGCCGTCCCGGGTTGTTGGACGGCCAAAAAGAAGCAAATGCCCAAATTCGTCAAAAACCTAACGAACATCAATGATTTTGGCCTCTTCGGGCCTTCCTGGAGCCGCTTCGGGCGCCTCTTGGGCCCTTTGGGGCCCTCTCGAACGCCGCTTGGGCCGTCTTGGGGAGGTCTTCTTGGGGGCCTCTGGGGTTCTCTGGGAGCGCCGGGAAGCCGAAAATGCGAGAACGCATATTTGTCCCAAAAGCCAAAGAAAAATCAATGGTTTGGGGCCTTGAAGCCCTCTTGGGAGGCCTCTTGGAGGCCTCTTTCCTGAGCATCTTGGGGCGATCGTTCGGCGACTCGGGGCCTCCTTGGACCGTCTTGCGGGCTTCTTGGGCCCTCTTGGCCCGTCTTGGGGCCCTCATGGGCCCGAAACAGTCACGCGAGAAGACGCGCCAAGCCCAAGAAGATTTGAGAATTTGGGGTACGTGCCTCTTCAAGACTCTTCAGGAGTGAGAGCTGAGGTTTGGAGGATGGGGCCCAGGACCTGAGGACACGCCCACTCCGTGCCCAGTGGCACGGTGGCGGATATCTGCCCGCCGTTCCGCCCCTCCGACTCGCTTCACGCAGCCCCTCTTGCGCGCCGCTCGTGGGGGCGTTCGCTGGGATGTCCGCGCTCCTCTTCTCCTTCAAAAGCCGAAATCGGGGCACACCCAACCGATGACCTTCGGTGGCCGAATTAAGAGCTCCCCAGTGCAAGCACTGTCAGGGTAGAAACGGTGTAGGGAAGCCGTGCGGTGCCAGCTGCGTGGCGCAATCTGCGTGGTACAATCTACGCGGCCGTCCAGCACACGAGGCGCCCACGAGGCGCCCACAGGCGGGCACCGTGCGCAGGCGGGGGAGGGAGCTGGAAGGGCACTGGCGCATCAACCTGGACGCCCTGAGCGGCCGTGAGGGAGGTGTGGCCCGCTTGACCTTCCCCTTCCTTGGTGCACTGAAGGCACTGAAGGAGGGGGGGGGGAAGGTGAACGAGGGGGGTAAGGGGGGTTGGGGTCGGGGGTGGAGGAAGATCATGGCAAGGATGGCGGTGAGGAGGAGGCGTCGGAAATCCGCGCGGCGGCGCCGCCGTCACAGGTGCGGCGCGACGCCGCCTTAGCCCCAGGCTTGGCCTGGCAGGGCAGCTGGTCTGCACCGGCCTTCCATCTCCTCCTCCTCCTCATCCTCCTCCTCCGGGGCCTCGTCCAGGTGGAGGAATTCTGGCGTTTTGTGATGAGGGGCGATAAAGAGGGGGGTAGCGAGGGTTGCAGGAAAGGGTCCCTAAACGGGCTCCAGAGGGCGCCCCTCTGAGGCCCTGAAGGTGCACGAACGGTGCAACTTTCTTCACCCCATGTTTATCGCACCCCCCGTTAGCGAACTCCCGATCCTCCCATCGGAACCTCATCCAGTTTGAGAAATCCTGCGTCCAGACCGGGTCGAGAGCTCCAGGTTCGACTTCTGCACACGGCGTCGCGCGCTCTATCACGGCGTCGGATGGGGGCCCACCTCCTCCACCCTCCCTGCTTCTTCGGGGGCTCGTGGTCGTTCACGGCTCTTGGCTCCGGGCGCCGTTACGGGCGCGCTCGGATGTACACCACCGCCAGAGGCACTCAGTGGCCGCCGGCGCGCGCGAGGTGCAGGAATACACACAATCTCCTTCCTCCAGGCCGCCCTGGAAGAGGTGGACGATGCACCTTGGCGATCGACGTTTGATCCATGTCCATGTTGCTGCCCCTCTCTCTGGGCGCAAGGAGGATGAGGGTATGGATAAGAAGCTCAGCACCTGGCACGAGATTCTTATCCATGCCCCCACTCTGACCCCATCGTGGGACTCTTGCGTGAGCAGGGGCATGGATACAACGTCTACCGCCTGGCAACATGCAGGGACGCTGCACGCTGCAACGGCACCCGACTTTGCGGGCCTGCGCGCTTGCTTTTCCAGCCGCTCGGCGCCGTCGGGGGAGGGCGGCGCGGCCGAGAAAAAAGCAGGCCCGGGTCACCCACGCACGCTGGCGTGCACATGGTGCGGTCCAGGCAGCGCGGGGAGGAAGGAGGCAAAGGAACAGAAAGGAGGGAGGGCGCGAGTTTGCGAGCTTATGGTTACGGTGAGGGGGCGGCATGAAGAGGAGGAGGAGGAGGAGTAGCAGGAGGAGGAGGAGGAGGAAGAGGAGGAGGAACACGACGAGGGGGTTGAGGTCGATAACGAGGAGGAGGAGGAGGAGGAGGAACAGGAGTAGGATGATAGGAGGAGGAAGGTCATGGCTGAAGCGTGCTTCAGATCGTCTTCTTCGAGGCTTCCGCGGGATGACGAAAGGAGGGGGGAGGGAGAGCACAGGAGGGATGATGAGCCAGGAGGCGGTGGACCAGCCAGGGTGGAGGACCCTGACCGTCCAGGAGGGCTGGGCATTATCACCAGGACCGTTGATTTGAATCTCCAGTCGAGGTTTGAAGCAGTCCAGCGACTATCAGCAGTCTAGACTGTCCGGGGACGAGGAGAAGGAAGAGATCAGAGAGGCCTATGAAGGCCCTTTGGGAGTTGGAAGAAGACGAGGACTGGAGGTCCACGGAGGTCCTCGGGGGTCTCCTGAGAGGAGCTGACACGCCGAGGCCCTGGATGTCATCCAGAGGCTCGTCAGGAGCAGCCGTCGATCCGGCGGAGCAGCGCTGGCAGGCAGAGGACCCCTGACCTCCGACCAGCGAGCCAACACATAGCCCTCCAGACCCACGGACCTGCAGTCAGCGTATTATTCTGCCAATGCAATTTCGACTGCGTCAGGCCGTCTGTGCGGTGGATACCAGGTCTGTCAGGAGGCCCACCCCAACACAAACGCGCCAGGCTTTGCGGCACTTCCATAGCTGTTGCGAGAGAGCGAATGCGACGCATTGAGCCTGCGAGCGCGCCACTTGAGCCAAACAGGCGACGGACGAAACGAGGATCAGAACGTGGCGTTGGTCCCAAAACTTTGTCCCGATACTACAGCACACGCGTGAACAGAAGTCCGCTGACTGCAGCTGCCTCGGCTGCCCAGAATCTCGACTGCACTTCGAGTTCAGTGGTCCTGGTGCGACAGTCGGACTGCTGAAGAAGGAACCCTTTTCGGTGGGGAAGGGCTCAGTGTTCCTCAATTGCTTTACAGCTCGGTGTTCCTGAGGATTTCTATTGGACATCGAAGCTTAACAACTATGGAAAACGGTGGTCTCGTTGCTTCTTTAGGGTTCCTTATGACAGCGTTTCGATTCTATTTTTGTCCAGCCCCCCTGGAAGGCCGAAGGGAGGAGGAGCCCGCTGCTCCCTCCGACCTGGTCGCCCCGGTCGCCTCTGCTGGCGCGTCGTGCCCTCCCTGGTCGCCCCGGTCGCCCCTTCGCCGCCCCCTCGTCGAGGGAGCTGAGCTGGGGGAGGGAGGACTCTCAGATCCTGGCGATCCAATTTGTTCGAGCCGGACGTGTGCGCCTTTTTTCGGGCTCCGGGACCCTCACATATCGATCCTGGTCGACTAATGATGCAGAAAGATGGGGTCTAGGGCTCTGGGCGTGATTTGCTACGGTGTTGCAATTTGTCCCAACCATCCTGTGGTGTTGGGTCCTCGGTTTGAAGAGACAGCGTCCGCGTCCTCCTTCCTTCCTTCCTTCTCCTCCCGCTGCCTCCCCTCCTCCCCCTCCTTGCCTCTGCCCTCCGCATGTCTCTCTGTCGGCACACCCATCACACGCTTCGTGGCCCCGTAGGGAGCTCCACCTAAGGTCCCAGTGGCGGAACTCGCATGCGTTCCCCGCACCCATTTTGGCACACACTCACACGCTTCGTGGCCCCATAGGGAGCTCCACCTAAGGTCCCAGTTGCGGAACTCGCATGGCGGCCTCGGGCCATTTCGGCACACCCCTCACACGTTTCGTGGCCCCATAGGGAGCTCCACCTACGGTCCCAGAGGCGGAGCTCGCATGCGGTCCCCGCACCCATTTTGGCACATCCCTCACACGTTTCGTGGCCCCATAGGGAGCTCCACCTGAGGTCCCAGTTGCGGAACTCGCATGGCTGCCTCGGGCCATTTCGGCACACCCCTCACACGCTTTGTGGCCGTATAGGGAGCTCCACCTAAGGTCCCAGTGGTGGCACTCGCATGGCGGCCTCGGGCCATTTCGGCACACCCCTCACGAGGATCGTGGCCGAGCTCCACCGAAGGCGCCAGTGGCAGCTTCCCTCATGGCTCTCAGAGCCCTCTCCTGCTTTTCTGCTCCTCGGTCAGGGGGGCGCCGTCCTCGTCGTCGTCGGCGCCCGCGAGGACGCATGTCGGGCTCTGGCGGGAAGCCGTAGCCACATAGGGAGCGTGGGCGAAGATGGTATTCACAATTGCGGTATTCACAACTGCGTATGGTTGGGTTTTTCGCCAGGCTAATTTCGCTACGTCGGATCTCAGGGGAGGATGGATGGGGCAGGAAGAGGGTCGTCGGACCGAGGTATGAGCACTGTGTTGAGATCCGATGCACTTCGCACGAGGATGCGGGTGGCGCCAGGAGCCGAGAGGACGTGCTACTTGCGCCACAACAGACTCAACATCCAGAGCCAAGAAAGGTAAGATCCTGCCTACCTACCAGCCCCAGCGGGCCGAGAGAAGAAACTACCTGCTAGAATTCCTCCGGGAGCGCCCCGCGGGGCTCGAGCAGCGAGCTGTCGCGCCGCACGTCGCACCCGAGTCTGGGCACGCCCCTCACGTCGCACTCGAGCCTGGGCACGTCGCACGCGGACACGGCGCATGGCGGCGACCAGGGCACGCGGAGTGACCCCAGCAGACCGTGCAAACTAACATTGAAGAAGGAACGCCCCGGGGTCCACCCTCCGGGCAGCGCCACTCGCGAATCTGGACAGTCAGGGGGCTGTGCCCGCGCACGAGCCAGGGCCCAGCCGGAGGCGGAGCGTCCGCGCGCGCCTCGCGAGCGGGCGCGCCTGCATTCGCACCCGGGGCCGAGCCCGCGACCGCAGGCTCAGCGGGCGATGCTCCCCGAACTCCCCCACCCTCCTCGCTCTCCGGCCCCGACCACATTTCCACCTCGAGCACAACAGTGCGGAGGTCCTCATGGCCTTGATGGCCGCGAGTGCCGGCTTCAGTCAGCACGGCCTCCATGCGCCCCGTGTATCGGGTGAGGAGCCGTGCAAAATGGAGGCAACCAAAAAGGAAAGCGCGGTAATCTTCGGCCAGCCGGCCTTTGGCCACCACAGCTTTTGCTGGGGCGTCGGCAGCATGATTCCCGAGCTGCTATCCGTCCCTCCACGACGATCCACGTCGCGTGCGCGAGGACCTTGGGTGCATCGCCAGCAGCCACCTGGCGCCCAGGTGTGAGCTGTCCCCCTTCGGGCCTTCGAGGGTCCTCGTGGGTCCGCCGAGGCCTCTCCCTTCGTCCTTCACCCCTCTCCCTCAGGCGTGTCTGCACTAGCCTTTTAGGCTCGTGCTCTCTCATGTGCGTGCAAAAGTGCTCCCACCTTTCCCTCATCCCGCTCCCATCATCCCAGATGCCGTCCGATGAAGAGACAGTGGTAAGCGGAGCGTCCGGGAGCGGGGATCGAGGGGCTGAGCGGGGAACCTATATGACCACGCGTACAAGAGCAGCGCAAACACAGACAAACGACACCGAGCAGCCAGCCGAAGGAGTCCAGGCCGAAGGGGTCCCAGCGGACCCGTGGGCCAGGGCCGCCGAGACCATGATGGGAGCAGGATCTCGGCCGAAAGACGACGGCTGGTGGCAACAGGGGTGGTGGCATAATTGGAGCTCGAGTAGATGGGACTGGGAAAGGGCAGACTGGAACCAGAGTGGGACTACTCGTGAGAGCCGGGATTTTGGACCACCACCCCAGTGGCTAGGGTTCGACGGCCTCGAGCTGTATCGCGACAATCTAACGCCTTGGGCGTCGAGAACGGGCTACGTGCACGACCAAAGGGCCGGCAAGGTGCTAGAGTCCTTGCCAGTAGACATACAGCTCAAGTTCAAGTCATTGAGGCGACACCTACAGTCCGAAGTCGGAGTAGACAAGATAATCGAACATCTCGGCATCTTGAACGGAGAAAGGCCGGGAGACAAGAAGAGGGAGGGCGAGGGTGCAGCGTTGTTCGACTATGCCCTCAGGCGTGGAGAATCGCTCACTGACTACGTGCTCAGACGTGACACACAAGTTGCGGACGCTGAAGTCCACGGTCTGACA